CACTAAGGCCAGCTAGACTCTGAACAGTTTCACCTGCAATAAACAGAAAAACAGGTTAACAGAAAATTGTGTGGCTGCAACAACAGTATCACAAGAAGTGACAAGAAACAGGCCCTACCCTAACCCTTTAAACTGGGGGTTAAATAAATAAATCCAAACCTTGGCAAAGGTAACCCCCTCTCCTTTTCCTGTTATACCGCTCTCTGCAATGCAGGGCTCCAAGATAAACCAGCTGAACTAAGTATTTTGTGACCTTTCTACCTAGGTTCAGCTGGAAGTGCAGAGAAAATGGAGGCAGTGGCATTTAAGCAAACACTTGCGTCAGCATCTCAGCACCTCAGCGAGTAATGGAGGAAGTGGCTTAACTCAAGAGATGCAGATGGTGAGGTCGAGCCCACCAGAGCACAGGAGAGCAACCCTCCAAAGATCAAGCGTGCTTTAACACCGTGTGCCTGGAGGATACCTCCATGCTCAGATACACATGGTTAAGTTCCATGGACCGTGCTGGGAGTCTTGTGTATGTATCCAAAAGCGGGACTTGGCTGTAGACCAACAGTTCTTGAAACACATCTGTTCATCTATATCCTGTGTAGCACCAGAGTTACTTTACAAGGCAAAATGGGCCAAAACATTATGATCTTCCTTGGGTTTCTGGCCATAGTAATTTGTGTTTCTTTCCACACCAATACTTTTCAGCTGCTATGTCTATGTTAAATGTGACATTTCATTTTCCACGTGGCTCCCCAGCATGTTCCAGGCTAAGCCTGGTTGGTCAGTTTTAGAAGTTCTCTATTTCTTCTGCTGTTGAAGCTGGGAGGACATTCAATTTTGTACGACAAAGGTTCCGTGCCATCCTTTCACACAGCTCATAGATTCAAAATGCAAAATTAATTCATTCATACCATTTACCACAATTCAAAGTCTTTCTGCTGTGGTGATGGATGATGGGCACTGAGAACATAAAGCATGGCTGAGCTAATGCTTCGCTCAGGTTTGCTCCAGTGATGGTGGCAGGTTCAAGCGGTTTTCTTCCTTTGCCTCTTCTGACAGTGGAGATCTCAGAAGTAACAGTGGTCCAATTTGGATTTTTGTATGGTTTTTTAAGTGGTAAAAAAAAGCTACTATAGCATATTCCAGGGTGACCAAGAAAACTTCAGTAAGGTGTCTCTTTCCTATTGTGTCTGTACCTCTGAGATTTGTCCTGCTGGTCTTTGAAGGGAAGCAATGAAAGCCCTCGGGACATTTAAAACTCAGTTGAACTGGACAGTACAAGGTATCTTACGAAAAACAACACCATAGTAGCTGGCAAAAATCTCTTTACAGCCTATGATCACTCAGCATGCTGAAACCTGCAAGACTATGCGCTGTAATATGCTGTCACAAGGTATCCAAGCTTCTATTACAGCGTTATGTTCTTAAGGATAAAGTTGTTAAGCAAATTTCCCTGGTCTGAGTTGGAAAGAGATAAAAGAATTCATCCGACAATTGCAATCAAGCCTCCTACTCGGTTTTGTATCTGCATTTCCCCAGCTGGGGCAGTTCTTGTCTGGTTTTCTTCAAGGGCAAAGATGACTGAACAGAAAGTTAGTGGTGTTTATCACTTCTCCCTCCTCCTGGTCACCTACAAGACATTGGCAAAACACGTGTGGTATGCCAAATGCTGACCGAGCAGCATTCCCCACCCGCTCTTTTTTAACCACTCTAATGAGCTCTTATTCACACCAAACCCTCGTGATAGATTTCTGCCATTTTACCAGAAGACAAACACACAGAGAAATTCAGAGGATGCTTTCAAAGTTAAACTACCTGTGCAGAAGCAGGTTTTTGAGAGCTATTAGCACTGTTTCAAGTCCCAGGATTCAGGAAAAATGTCTTTTTTTCTCTTTGGTGACAGACCGCGCAGCCCGTATCCCCCCAGGGAAACAGGCACTGCGGGGAAGGGCACCTCGGCAGGGGGTTCAATCTGGCCTCCCCTGCCCTGTCGGCTTTGCCTGCTGATGCAGGCGACCCAGTGGCAGGAGAGTTGAACCTCTTTAAAACCAGGAAAAAAAAAAAAAAAAATCAAATACAAAGCAGTGAACTGGCAAGGGTTTCCAGGAATTAATTTTAAACTTATGGTTTTTGAAATGGCAAAGTTTTGAGTCGACTTTGTCCTTTAAAACTCAGCCAAAGCAAGTGGAAGGAAGAGCAGAAGCGGGATCGGTCCCGTGACCGAGGGAGAAGTGAAAGCCCCTCCATGCACATTTGGGTGAAAGATCTCATTTCTTGCTGACTTACCCAAGCCAAGCCGAGCTTCCAGCCTTCTCGGGGGTTCACCCTGTCCCAGTGCATTCAGCAAGTCAGGTAATTCCGAAAAGATATAACCGTTAGCCTAATTTTCTCTCTGGCCAACAAATAAGACCAAGAAGAGTGAAGCAACTCGTATGTTCCCTGAGAATTGAACATTTACCAGTCAAGCCAAAGCAGATGCTTGTTTTAAATGCGAGTGCCTTCTTCCAGCATAAATGAAGAAATACAGATTCAGAGATATAATAACATGCGATTAATTAGATCTGATGCAATTATTGGCTCTCCCTCGAGCCAGTGTAAGAGCTCAGCCTTGCAGCGCATAGTTAGGACCAGCATGGATGGCACAAGGTCAGGTGGAGCCCAGGCTGAGCATGATACTGATTTGGTACAGGAGTCCTGGTGAAACAGGGGCAAACCACACACCCCAAAATAAAATGGTCCTGGGTTTTGTATTTTAAAAAAGTGTTCTAGCATAAGTTATTGTTTTGCATGGCCATTTTGTTTTTATTTGGCTTGCCTGAAATAACCAAAATCGGGAATTATTCCCAGATTCTGTATTACATTTTCTTTAGGCATTGAGCACTGGGCCTGGTTTGTATGGAGAGCTGAGGTTCTGTAAAAACCCTTGGATATCAGCTGGCATTTGGAGTCCTTGGCTCTTTGGGAAGAGCAAGTCTACTCGGGCAGGCAGCCCCAGGCATTACGGTGGTGTGACCTGGATGTAGGAAGCTGCTGCCACCCACCACCACAGTGGGACGGGTTCTCACCTTGTCCATCTTCTGCACAGGGGATGCAAAAGTGGCCTTCCCTGCTGGAGATCTCTCTTGATTAACTGTACTGAAGAATACTAAAGAAGAGAGCTACTTGGCTCCAGGAACACTGACATGTTTATAAGCAGGGGAACAGGGAAGTAAATCTCAGTGAGCGATGCAAAAGGTGGGAGATGAGCGGATGCAAGGCAGGCAGGCTCCGGCAGCCTGAAACAACCGACAGGCTGAACGCAAACCCCATCTCCAGCTTCCCTTTCTCTGTAGTCGTTCCTCGGTATTCAATGAAAAGCAGGCGTTTGGTATCAGTGAACAGGACCTGAGCACCGTCTTTCAGGCGAGCAGTTATCACTGCTCTGGGACACTGGTGATGGCCTCTGGCTGTTCACTCCAGGTGCCCCCAGAAGCCAGCTGAAGCTCTGCAAGCCAGCGGTGCAGGCAGCAGCTCCAGCAGCCTGAACATCAGCAGTCTAAGACCAAAGGCTGAATTTAAGAGGAAGCAATGAATGGATTTTCTCTCCCAACGCAGCAACAAGGAAGTTCCCAGCAAAGCTGTCAGAAGCAAGCAGCAGTATTTTTGTGCAGTGAATAATTACATTGTGCAATGCCTCGCTGGGCATCGGGGAGCTGAAATGAAGGGGGTGGTGCCAATTCAGAGGGGTTGGATCCATGAGAAGGTGAGAGGCCCCAGGAATCCAGCCAACATCCCTCCCAGGACACCCCCCGGGGCAGACCTTTCTTTCACCCGGAACTGAGGCCCTTCTTACATGTGCAGGCTGAGATAGAAGGTTTAGAAGGGCCATTACCTGCTTACCATAGGCCCCAGCAGAGGGAAGGAAAAGGTGGGCAATTCCTGTAATCACCTTCTCCTGAATCACAAAAGCAAGCAAAGCTCAACCCCCAAATCACATGTCCCTCCATGCACAGCTGATGAAGGTACTGGAGACTTAAAATCAAAATACCAGTAACAGTCCAGGATATCTCCCTAGTTTGCATGCCCTCTACCATTATGTCCTTATTCTTATCCACAAGCAATGGTTTGTGCACAAGCTTCCAATTAAAGTTACTAGCTGAGCAAGTCTAAACAGCTCATTAACACAAAGGCAATGCTCATTATCCTGCTTTTAGGAGATATTAAACCATCTGAGACAGGCCAATGGCCTCTCCCACCAGAGAGAGAACACCAGGTGCTAATTAACTTACTTGAGATTACATAAACTAATTCCCTGGTGAAGCTGGAAATCTGTTTTCCTGACATTTAACTAAACGCATTAGTACAGTGAGCTTGGGGAAAAAAACCTGTATGAATACATTGGTGCTCAGATACCACTTCTTGCAGGCCAAATAAGCAAAGCTTGGGAAAAGAGCAAGGATGCTTCTGACACAGGGTGCGGTGTGGGAAAAGGGAGGTGAAGGACACAGGAAAGAGCTCTTCAGCCGGTAAACAGCACACAGGCAACAGCAGGAAACCATTAAAGAGCATACAAGGTTATCTCCGATTCCCACGAAGCAGCACAGCTGACTGCCCCTCTTGTTTTGCAAGACAAGAAAGTGGTGCTGCCTGCTTGGGTTGGTGTGGACAGGTTGGGAGAGGAAGGGGGGGGGGAGCGTGCAGCAGCTACGCAGCCGCAGCTTCCTTGGTCGCAGCTCGGCGGAGCACCAAGCAGTCATTTCTTCATCGGTCTAGCTGGGTAAACAGACAGAATTGGCACCTGGGAGATTACATAAGCCCTACTCATCCCCTTAAATCTGCACCCCGATATCTAAATATAGAAAGAGATAATTACAGTTACCTTATTTCAAAGAAGTTTATTTAACAAGCTTCAAGAGTGTTGCTTGACGCTTCCCCAGGCTTCAGAAAATGAAGTTGCCCATTGCTGCACCAGTTGCTGTATATAAGGATGCCTCTGAGACAGCCAACACTGTTTCGTAGTATTTAGCCATCAAAACACATCTTCTCCCAGCATTAGTAAGTCAAGCAGTACTATACAAAGCCAGTTGGAAAAAAAAAGTTCGTGTTTTCCCTAGAGGATTCCCTAACCCCAACAAAAGGCCTCTTCTTCAGCTACCAGAGGGCATCCTAAAATAATTCACAGTTGCACCAAGGCTTGGGTGACCTCAATGGCCAATTGTCCACTGCCTCCCTCTAACCCGAGTGGGACTCTGGGGCTGGTGCCTTCATCTGGCTACGGCTGCCTTCCCCCAGGGAAGGGGCTGGGGGCACAGCCTCCCACTAGCATGGAAGGGAGTACATGCAGAATTGATTTCCAAATTTGGTTATGAACAAGAAGGCACTCTGGAGTTACATGCATGTTTCTAGACAAGCCATGGACATCTAGAGCCCTTGACCTCATGTAGGAGAACTGTCCTGTCTGGCATGGGCACCCCTATGCACCCAACTGATTCATGGGCTAGTTAAGGCACTCTACCACCTGGTAACACCATGGTGTGACAATCTGGGACCAGACCTTGCAGACTCTCCCTGGGGTAAGTAGCTCTGCTAAAGCCAATAGTACTGTTCACACAAGCATCTGCAAGTTCAGCCCACCAGCACATCTTCCACCATGCAAGTCAGCAAATCAAAAGCACCTTTGCAAGAGAGATACAATCACAGTGCAGTTTTCCAGAGGCAGGTTAATGGCGCAAGTCCTTGTCCTTGAGAGAGGGTCAGTAAACTCTGATGGAGCCCCAAACATTGCAAGAGCTTCAGGAGTCACCTGGGTAGCACAGCTCTGTGCATTATCTCACCAGAGAGATGGGCAGACTCACGTGCAAAAGCACAACTGTCACTGTCCAGAGCAAGCCTGGTCTGAAATCACATCGCAAAACAGGCTTAGGAGTGTTATCTTAACAAGTTACGGAAATCTGAGAAGGAATGGAGACTGTCCTCATGAAGGCAAGCAAGTCCACAGGAGCACATTCAGCAAGAGTGGATGTATGGTCAGGCAGGCAAGACTTCCAATTCTTGGCTTTCAAACACAAAGCTGTTTACCCGTGGCTTGCCTACACAGCCTTCTCGGCCTGTGTGCTATGATGCTTTTGTTTCAGGCAAAAAATTGTGTCAAACTTGCTGCACAGGAAATGAAAGCCTTGCTCAACAGCTATCAGACAAGCTACAGAGATGAAACATGTAGAAACATTTGTCCTATAACAAAAATACAAGCTGTTTTATCAGCTGATAAAAACCAAACATTAAAACAGAGACCCTGATATTTTATTTCTGAAGACATTTTTATCTCTGGGCAATGGAGTGCTGTATGTTGGGCAGGAAGGACATGTGTGGGGCAACCAACCTCTGAGCTCTCCTGCTGAGGTCATCTTCTCCTTTTAAAACAGACAGCATAGGGAACTTCAAAGCTGCAGCCATCGTAGAGATCTTGACTCAGGCACTGGCAGAAGGAAGACCAGCCTTAATATAATTTTGCCAAGTCTCTTTGGACTTCCATCAGCTGTAACAGATTAGAGCTGCCCCCATCAGCCCCTTCTTAGGCAATCTTGGGCTGCAGCTCCTCCCAGGCCCACTGTTTATCAGGGGATGAAAAGGACTTGGTCTGGTCAGGAGGATCTAGCGCTTTCTCCTCCCTCACAAAATGCTACAGGCGACTCTCAGCTACAGGATGAGGAGATTTCCCATTGCCCCAGCAGGAAACCTGAACAAACAAAATGCACCCCAGAAGGTGCGGTGGTCCCTGTGTGGTCTGCCCAGCCACAATGCCTACCTAAAACCCCTGCAGAGCTTGTCCCTCTTGCCCTGAAGAGACAAAAAAGAAACCAAGAGCAGCAGCGCCCTATTACAGAGAACTTTGCGAGGGCGGTGAGGGAGCCGGTTTGGGTGACGGATTGGCACGTGTCCCACAGTGGCAGCAGAGGAGCGGTGACAGCAGGGAGAGGCCGCGAGCAGAGGAGCATGCACCGCTGCCCAAGGAAGGCATCACAACCCTTCCCCGTACACCTGCACCACCTAAAACCTGTCCTCGGCCCCAAGACAACTACATCTCCCTGCGCCTCTGTCAGGGGCGTCCCAGAACAACTCACAGAGGACAGGACAGATACAGGGAATGTTGCCAGCAGGAAACAAAATGGGTGGCCGGATCGAGATCCGTGCGCCGCCTTTGGTGGAAGAGAAATGGAGGAGTGAGATCCAGTGAAGATTTTCAATGCTCCACGCCAGTGAGCATGGCCAGACACAAGTCATCTGTCCCCGAGACGGAGCAAAGCGGGGAGACACGCCGAAGTTGCGTCACACCTTTCACAGGTTCCGGAGTACAGGGGAAAGCCCAGCAACACCAAACCCGCAGCAGTACATGCTTTGTGTAAGCCTCAAAGCTGAGCCCAGGGGTGTAGATCGCAGTCTGCCACCCCTCTGCACATTTAACGGGACACACTCTTCTTTAAACCACTCCTCCAGAAAAACACATTTCAGCAGCAGCCAGGCTCAGTCTCTGCTTTGCTCGTGCCACGCAGCCCTCCACGCTGACCAGTGGGTGGGTATGTCTTCTACAGGCATCAAGACTGACTCATGGTTTGCCTCCTTGCACGCAATTTAAGACACGGTGTCCTTTTCAAACTTCGTTAGACTCCCTTTTTTCCAGTCTAATTGGCAAAGCCGATTACACAACGGTGGAGGTACACCCTTTGCACCTAGATTTTGCCTACCCCATTCCTGGGGTGTGTGAGGCTGTTGATGTGAAGTCCACTGATCCCATTAAGGAAGAAGAGAAAGGCAGCAATGAACTCGCACCAGTACGTCAGCGTGAAGCCCGTGAAGGTGAGGTGATCCTTCACAAGGATGGAGAAGCTCAGAACCCCAGTGGCGGACAGCAAAAACGAGCCGAGGATGAGAACAGAGCCCATTGACCACTTCCGCCTTGCATTGGTGTCCTCGCAGACTTGGGACACCATCAGGAGCTCCAGGCCAAATATGGCGACCACAACAGCAAAGGACACCATGCTTCTTATGGGAATCACCCCCACGCTCAGCCCCTCCACCTTGGCCAGGCTGAGGTCCGTGACGCACCTCAGGACGCTGCCGTTGCTAACGGTGCAGAAGTGCCACAGTCCGAAGAGCTGCCCCCTCGCAAAAAGCCAGCGGCCATCGCAGACAGAGATGGACGACAAGACCACCGCTATGGCCACGCACAAGATGATCAAGCTCCTGATGAGCGTCTCAAAGAAGGATTTCTGTGGTCTCCGGTGCGCCAGCAGCCGCTGAGCCTTAAAGGATAGCAGGGGGAAGAAAAACACCCAAGTTAACAGCACTGCTTTAGGCTGAAATGAAACCAGGGGAGCAAAGCTTTGGGACTTCAGTTTTGGAAGTGATTTGCTTGCGCCCATCAAACCCCTTCTCGCAGGGGAAGGCAGCATGGTTACAGGCTGCACCCAGGAGTTGGGAAGGGTGGGTGAAGCTCTCCCGGTTCCCCAGCTGCACGGATGATGCCCCCACATCAAGGCCCGGGTTCGGGATCACCAAGGCTCCAGGCTGAGCAGGATCCCTGCCCTACAGCCCCGCAGCATGGCCTCCTGCTCTGGCAGGGCTGGAGGAAACCACCGGCCCCTGGGAGGATGGAGGCCGACGGCTGGGACGGGGGAGGCGGCAAGGAGCGGAGCCGGGGGGACCCCAAATACCTGCACTGCCCTTCTCTTC